TCGCGCCCCCACTACAGCTGGGTTACAGGGCAACACAACTCACCTCGGCTCCGACCAGCGTCGTCCCTACAACAATCCTTGGCTGTCCCATAAGATGCCCACCCCAAAGCATCCCCATACTTCACTAGGCCTCACGCTTCTGTATCAACAGATTACAGGGCAACACCCCAGCACCGGCCAGCGTCGTTCTGGCATCGAAACAGCCGAAGATCAGCAAGTGTAGCAATATCAGAGTTACCCCAAAGGGGTTGCTTGAAGTCCCAGAATCCTAAGCACTCTTAAGACCCTCCGACAGAAAGCTTTTAGTAGGAACTGCACAACCAACAGAATCCCGCCCTCCCCACAACTATTGAAGAAACCACATGTCTTATATTCAGTCCCCGATCCAGCACACGGCTGGTCTCCTACCCTCCCATGCTAGAGTTACAGGGCCCTACCAAGCCTCGGTACCGACCAACCTAGTGTAGACGGTAAGGAGTGCTGATTTTGTCTTCCTCCCTCGACAGAACTCCCCAAACCTCGTGCTCCTCTCAGGTCACAGAGCAGAACACTCCAGCACCGGCCTGCTTCGTCCCAGCCCCTTCCTTCTAAGACCTACTCACAACACCCACGATCTCCCCTTTCTTGCACCCCCCCTTCCCACCTCTTACCCCACAACCCTCTTAGAGCAAGGACTCCAATCTATCCATAGACGAACGTAAAAAAGCCCAACGCCCCATATGAAAGAAGGATCTCGGTAGGTAAAGTTCACCTGAAAAAGGGGCCTGATAGCACCCACCTCCCAAGCCTGTCCAACCTTACTCCGTTAAGACTTACTGCAGTGAAGCCACCATCTCCCCTGCTGCTATACCCTATTTCCACTCTGCAGTTAGCCCCTTCTAGCAGAGCGCGTCCTTTTCCCCCCATCTTGTCATCATAACCCCCACAAACAGCCCCCTTCTCAAGGGAAACCAAGAGAGAACAAAATGGAGAAGGATGGAAGTCCGAAAAAACTCGAAACACCAAGCACTTAAGAAGCAATCTGGAATATCTTTTGTAGAGCTGAAATTTTCAGACGAGATTTAAGTAAGAAATCTTGTGGGAAATCATGTAGAAAATCACATAAGATGTCTGAATTGAGACTTATGAATATAAAAAATCGAGACAGAAAATTAAGTCATGATTTGGATCGTAGTAAGTTCCAAAATGAAATCAGGAATGAGATTACGAAAATTATCCAAGGTGTCCAATATTTGAGTCACGATTTTCAAGCAGGAAAAAGGTCAGATCGTAGTTTAGATCGTAATTTTGCTAAGAGTAGACCACTGAAGAAGAAATGAAGAAATATGCTCATGGGTAAAGTTGAAAAACATTTGAACGAACTTTTCGCAGAGACTCACGAAAACCACATTAGAGCAGTTAATCAGGAACCCCATGTTGACGAGATGTTGACGAGATCGCGCCAGAAGACCAAACTAAGAATCAAAAGAAAATCCTAATTGGGCTCCCAATTCATTTTCGATAAGAAGTACCCAATTTAAGAGCACAACTCTGGGAATTCAACTTATGAGCCGCTGCTGCTGACCCCCACGTGAATTTGAAATCAAAACCAACACAACTTCTCCCCTCTTCCTCAACCACCTTCCCCCCACTTTCCTCTTATCCCTCAAACCCTACCCCTGCGCCCTTGGGGAAGGAAGAGTTCACTTCCTCCCACTGTTAGTTCTAGGCTTAAAGCAATCACCAACACCAAAAGCATAAACGGCCATCTTCGATTCCTCAGAGAATCGAAGACAGTGTGGCGCCCCCTCGCCAAGCCCGTTGACAAGTCGCCACAGGAGGTTTAAACCACTATAGCTATATACTCACCATAACCTTACCTTCAGTTGAGGAAAAAGGAAGAAGTAGTCACAACTTAGAAACCCTTTCAATCACGTTACTCCTCGCCGCTGCTTCCACCTGCTGCTTCCACCTCCTTGCTCCCGCCTCTACCAGACGCAGCCGCTATTCTGAAAAAAACATATGAAGAAAGGTCATCACTCGCACGCACTTGATACGCCCACCAGCAGCAGCGCTCTCCCTCAATCGCCCAGGTAATCAGCAGCAAAACCAGCGTGAGCCCCACTTGCCCTATAGCCGAGACTTAGCCCGCAAAGGAAACCAACACACTTCAGAAGTCTGTGTGGTAGAGCGCAGCGATCCCGTTAATGGCAGCACGTCTCCCTACTGCTGCCAAGCAGCACGCAACTGTCGCTCGCCAAACTTATGTAGAACACTAGCTCCAAGTGAGAGATGGCAGAGCCACTCCGAAGACAGCAAAGCGCCGTGAACGTTTCATCGTTCCACTTCACCTCCTGCCCGCGACCTTTCTCCTCGCCATCGCTCGATTCACTCCATGCCATACCTCCCCATGTGAACGCGCCATTTCGACGCACTATTTCGATGCGGGTCGGGCGCAGCTCTCCCGGCAGCGCTGCACCCGCTCCAAGCACCCCCGATCCCCGATAAGCCCTTTCTATTTATTTTCAATTTTTTGTTTTCAATTTTTTCATCTATTTTTTTTTTGAAACACCCAATTTCCCGACACAAACCCGAAAAACATTTCTCAAAAATACAAGACAATTCAGTGGTCATAT